GGGGTCCAGGACTACGAGCTGTTTAACTCCCAGCTGGACTCGATGGAGGTCTGGGTCCTGGAGGCTGAGGAGGCTCTGAGGGCCCCGGACCCTTCTGGATCCACAGAACCCCCCCTCATCCAGAACCGCATGCAGGAGCTGAAGGTGGGTCCTGTCTCTGTAGATACTTCCCTGGGGGGCCGTTACCTGAGGAATTATTAAGAAAAGCCTCAAGACCCACCTGTTGATCTCACTGACTGTCCTCTGTTGGGTTAAAGGTTTCATTCTAACCTTTTATGATCTTATCCTTTTTTATATTCATCCATCTTCTCCCGCTTATCCGTGGTCGGGTCGCGGGTCTTTTTTATATTAAGACATTTTATTCAATCCTTAGATGACTTTAGATTTCTCTGTATGTTCCCCTCGTAGCCTTGTGAAGCAGCTTGAGGTGTTTTGAAAGTGTGCTATGAGAATGAAATGTGTTGTTACCCTCAGAGTCTGATGCTGAGGTTCAGCAGCTTGTCTCCGGAGCTGGACCGGGTCACTGAGCTCGGGTACCGGCTCCCTCTCAACGACCCGGAGATAAAGCGTCTCCAGAGCCTGAACCGGAGCTGGAGCAGCGCCTCGGCCCAGACCACCGAGAGGTTCAGGTACTGAGACATCAACTGCTCATGTTACAGAGAGAAGTGGGAAAGGTTTAGTTTGTTATTGGAATTCTGACTTTTTGCAGAATTCTGACTTTTTGCAGAATTTCGATTATTTTTTCAAATGTCTGACTTTTCCAGTATTCAGACGTTTTGGTTGTTTTGTGCAGCAAGCTGCAGGCGTTCCTACTGCAGCAGCAGAGCTTCCTGGAGAAGTGTGAGACCTGGATGGAGTTCCTGCTGCAGACGGAGGAGAACCTGGCCGTGGAAATCTCTGGAAACATGCAGAGTCTGACGGAGCAGCAGAAAGCCCACGAGGTCTGAAGAGAGCACCTGAAGCTGCTGCCTTTGATGTATTAACAGTGTGTCTTGAGTTGAATAGATAACAGGGTAAACGTGTTTCCTGCAGCTGTTCCAGGCGGAGATGTTCAGCCGGCAGCAGATCCTTCACTCCATCATCAGTGACGGGCAGAGGATGCTGGAGCAGGGACAGGTGGACGACAGGTACTTCAAGTTACATTCAAATTAGGGATGGACCGATTTGGCTTTTTCAAGGCCGATACCGAGGCGATTATTAGAAATCAAGGAGACCGATAACCGATATACATTTGCAGTAAAATCAGAAAATCTTGGTGTCAACATGTAGAATAACACAAACTCCAACACAACTTCTTTGAAATGCATTTAAGCATATATTATGTTTAATGAACTTTTAAACATCTTACAGCTGGTCTCCTCTCTGTGCCCTTTTCTTTAGTGCAGCCATCTGCAATGAGTTAGAGAGAGAGAGTGGGGCTGACATGCTGACATGCTGACATGCTGACATGCTGACAGGCTGACATGCTGACAGGCTGACATGCTGACAGGCTGACATGCTGACATGCTGACATGCTGACATGCTGACAGGCTGACATGCTGACATGCTGACATGCTGACATGCTGACATGCTGACATGCTGACAGGCTGACATGCTGACAGGCTGACATGCTGACATGCTGACATGCTGACATGCTGACATGCTGACATGCTGACATGCTGACAGGCTGACATGCTGACATGCTGACAGGCTGACAGGCTGACATGCTGACATGCTGACAGGCTGACATGCTGACATGCTGACATGCTGACATGCTGACATGCTGACATGCTGACATGCTGACAGGCTGACATGCTGACAGGCTGACATGCTGACATGCTGACATGCTGACAGGCTGACATGCTGACATGCTGACAGGCTGACATGCTGACATGCTGACATGCTGACAGGCTGACATGCTGACATGCTGACATGCTGACAGGCTGACATGCTGACATGCTGACAGGCTGACATGC